GATGCCCAGCACATGAAAAAGCCCCGTAATTCAAGAACTAGTGGGGTAGACAAGAGGAGCACTAACTAGCCAGTTAGTCTAGCCAGCTGATGAAGAGACGCCATCTCAAAAAACAAAGTGGAAAAGAGATCAAGAAAGATACTTGTCATCAACCTCTGGCCTCCTCAATCACAAACTTGCACACACGCCCATCCACACAACCAGACAAGCAGACATAAGAAACAAAGTAAGACAACATACCTTGGACCAGAGTAAAGAGAAATGACCAGATTCTAAACATTCTAAAGGTGGAATCAACAGGATTTTCAGACAAAGAGAAATTAAGTAAAAGAAGGGCTTGAGTAACAGCTCGGTGATTAAGGGTAGAACAGAAGACCCAAATCCAGCTTCTAGGACACATGCTGGGAAACACACAATTACCTGTAACTCCAGCTCCAGGACAGCTTACACCTCTGGCCTCTGTGAGTATCTGCACTCATATGCAAATACCACACAATACCACACAGAGACACACAATGGAAATGAAAATAAGCCATGCATTGTGGCTCACACCTTTAATCCCAGCACTTGTGAGGTCTAGGCCATCCTGATCTAAACAGTGACTTTGAGGAAAGCCAGAACTCTGTATAAGACCGTCGTGGGGGACAAAATAAAATAAAAATAAATCTTGACTTAAAGTAATGAAGAAATAGGATAGAGAGAATATGGCACAGGAGAATAAAGGGTTAACCAAAGCTTCTGGAACATGAACTGTCATTGATCAAGATGAGAGACTGAGGGCTGGGGATGTAGATCAGTTGAAAGAGTACTTTTCTAGCATGAACAAAGTTCTACATAAACCAGATATGGTGAACACATCTTGGATCCATGAGGGAGAGGCAGAAGGATCAGCACTTCAGTCAGATCCTGTCTCAAAGAAAAAGAGTAAGGAGGATTCCTCACTGGCTTTGCAGTGAGTTTAAAATAGTAAAACACTCTAGGGGAGATTTTAGTAGGTAGATAATATAAGTCTAGGGTTCAAGTACATGTGCTATAAGCACAGATTTAACTTAGGAATGGTATGAAGCTTCGCGTCTTTTGACATGAATCACAAAATCAGAGCACAATTTCACCAGGTAACAGTCTCAACACAGCTCCAGAACAAATCTGTGAACTAATTACGTATTATGCTCTGTGCTCTAAGTACATGCTATCTAGCAAGGAAAACAAGAGAACTCTGCTTTTACCATCCAGGCAGCCCCAGGTAACACTTTTATTGACAGCACATTTGGGCACTGTCACCCCAACATCTTCTCACAACATAACATGACCTATGTAAAATTTACATCCAATATCCACGGAAGCTTGTTTGCTCAACACTGTTGATGCTTTTACAATAAGTCAACTTTCCTCAATTTTACTTTATCAACTTCAAAGCTAGCCTGACTTTGAGAATCTTTTTCAATTTTAAGTGAGAACATCTCATAATTTACATTCAGGATATAATTTTATCCCTGCTTTACACACACACACACACACACACACACATTTTTGGAGACAGGGTCTCATTGTGTAGTCCTAGATGGTCTGGAGCTCAGAAACCCACCTGCCTCTGGCCTGAGTGCTGGGATGAAAGGTTGGATCACCATGCCTGGCCTAGAAATGATTTTTGATACAAAATATCAATAACTCATAATGTACTCACATCTAAACATGCAGGACAGTGGTGGCACAAGTCTTTAATCCCAGCACTTGGAGAGCAGAGGAAGGAAAATCTCTGAGTTCAAGGCCAGCCTGGACTACAGAGTTAGTTCCAGACAGCAAGGGTTATACAGAGAAACTCTGTCTTAAACAAAACAACCTTTTTCAGTACATGCCACCACCTTTCTATTAGCCTTACTGCTTAGGTGGTTTTGTCTTCTTAATTAATCTAACATAATGTAAACAAGCAGTTTTAAAAAGTAAATGTAGTTGAATGATATTTACACTTCAGGCTATGACTATCCAACAGACACAGGGTCATAACTTTTGACCTTATGGTTAAAAACATTCAGCTAACAGAATAGACAGAATCTACCTTACCAAGAGTCATACACAAAGACCAATACAACTTAACAACAAGGTGGTGCAGGACAATTGTCTATATTCTGTCAATTATATTTTAAATAAACGCAGATTGGCCAGTAGCCAGACAGGAAGTAGAGGCAGGTTGGTGAGAACAGGAGAATTCTGGGAAGGAGGAAGCCCATTCCTCCACAGTCCTGTCCAGACACCAAAGAAAGAAGATGTGACCTGCCCTGCTGAAAAAGGTACCAAGCCATGTGGCTAACATAGCTAAGAATAATAGGTTAATATAAGTTCTAAGAGTTAATAAGAAGCCTGAGTTAATGGGCCAAATCAGTTTATAACTTATGGAGACCTCTGTGTGATTTTCTTTGGGACCTAACGACTGTGGGAACCAGGCAAGACAGAAACCCCAACAAGCACGCCTTCATGTTCCTACAAAGGAACCTGTAAATGAATTAAGATCAGATCATACTGGCCATACAACTTTGCTCTATCATTTAAAAATGAGCTCCTAGCTGTTAAAATGCAGAAATCGGGACAGTTATTCAAAAGAATTAAGAATATGTAAAATAAAATAAATGGTAGTATCAAGCAGAGTGAACAGCTGTAAAGACATGAAATACTAGCAAACATGCTGATTCCTCTACCTTGTGTTTACAGAGAGAAAAAAACAACAACACATTTTTTATCTGGGATCCTCTAACTTAAGAAACTACAAACCCCTGATTCGTAAAAGAATTCTATAACCCCTCAAACGGGTAAAGAAGTTAATTCATTTCCATCTGTAAATTTATATACACTATCTGTACTGTAACCATATGATTAAAATACAGCTAACAACTACCACTGCAAATGTGATTTACAAAGACTATACACTACCACTGCAAATGTGATTTTAAGTATGACAAAGGCATACAAGTAATTAAGACAATCACACTTAACACAAAAGATCATAATTCATTAATATGAATGACACATTCTAAAGTCAATAATATGATGCTAACCCAACTTCCTGAAGTTACATTTTTTTTGTGATATTTTTAACAGAAAGCAGACTGGAGGGATGGGAAGGAGGTGTTAACTTCCTAATGGGTAAAAGGTTCCCTTTAGGTGACAGAAATGTTTTAGGGCAAAGCAAAGATGACTGTATAAGATTATGAATGTATTAAGAGGTACCAAATACATAAATCTAACCCCAAGGGAAAAAAGGTAGTAAAGAACCCCCAAGAAAAGGGATGAGACAGTGAAGTCAACAGAACATGGTTCATGGCTCAATGAGTAAAAATTTAGACTAGTTGCTAAGTGCTACTATGACTAAACTTCAGAGGCTAAATTGCTAGAACATACATTTTGACAGTATAAATTAAAAAAAAAACAAAAAAACAAAACAAATCTTCAGATTTCAGAGCTGAAGAGATGGGTTAAGAACACTGGCTGCTCTTCCAGATGACCCAGATTCAATCCCCAGCACTCACACGGCAACTCACAACTCTCTGTAATTCCAGTCCCAGGGAATTCATTGCCTTTCTGGCCTGCCCAAGGAACTGCACACATGTTGTGCACAGACATAAAAACAGGCAAACCAAACGTGAAATTTTTAAAAAATTTAAAAAAATAAAACTACACGTTTCTTTTGTTTTTAAGATTTTTCTTATTTTTAATTGTGTGTGTGTGTGTGTGTGTGTGTGTGTGTGTGTGTGTGTGTGTAGCTATTTACACCTAGGTGGAGGTGCCCCTGAAAGTCAGAGGCAGTGGACCACCTGGAGCTAAAGTTAGGGATGGTTGTGAGCCATCTGATATGGGTGCTGGAAACCAAACTCAGGACCTCTGGAAGGGAGAAAACAAATGCTCCAGTACTGAGTCATGTCTCCAGTCCTGAGAAACCTTAGATTTCTTGAGAATCCATTTCTTAGATTTCTACATTTTCCATACTCATGGGACTACTTCCAGAAGGATAAATCACATGGAAAATGCTATTGTTCCACACCAAGTTTAACCTTACAAATTACTTAAACATTTCTAAACAAAAGTAAATGTCAAAGTAAGTAACCCACAGAAATAATTTAAATGAAATCCAAATACCTAATCTATTGGGGGGACGGGGTGTGGGAAAAAAAAACTTTTAAGAATCAAGTAACACTTTCTGATGGGTAGATCTCTGTGAGTTTGAGCCAGTCTAGTCTACATAGTGAGTTTCGGGACAGTCAGGGCTGTGTAGAGACCCTGTCTCAAAACAAAACAGAATTAAGTAACACCTTTATGAATATTCCACAAATTATTAATTCATCAAGTTAGTAGTTGGAGAAAAACCTCCTCCCACCTATCTCTGTCCTTTAACATCTCTGAACAAACACCACACCCAATATTATGTGTTTCTTCAGGAAAACACTGAAAACACAATACACATAAAATCATAATCTGAATTATGGAATCAGCTGGCTATGTGAAATCGGTTCCACCAAGCGTGCAAATATTTACTACATGACATTCATGTTAACATCAGCATTTTCAAGGTCAATATTATGTTTGTTCAACTTCTTGGAGTCACACATTTTTGTGATATTTTTAACTTCTGACTAAAGGCTCTATCATCACAAGATGCTCACATTGTTTACAAACATCCAGAAACAGCAGCTGGTGTTCCTCTGTCACATCTTGTTACAATAAATAAGAGCAATAATTTTAAACTTCAGGTATATACTTTCTCGCTGATGTGCTAACAATCTTTTTTTACTTAAAAACTTTCTCTGAAGTTGATAGAGGCATATACACAACTGTGCACTTTGGTACAAAGCAGACAAGGTGAAAAAAATACAAACCTTTATATGTGTATACTTGAACTATCACGCCAAATGAGTTAAATGCCAAGTAATACTGACCCTCCTTTATTTTTCAAGCCATTTTTAGTACCTTTTCCTATCTCACTCAACATAATGCAAAAAACAGAAACTTACCCACACAGGCATTGAGGAATAGCCAATCAGTCTTTTTCATCCTATTTTTAATCTGCTTTAGCTTTTTAAAGTCCACTTCAAGTTCCTCCTTGCTACCAACAGCACCAGCCAATTCAATCCTCTGAAAATCCATTTTCACTTCAGAGTCCCGTTTTGTAGTTGGAGGCGATCTTCTTTGGCTATTACCACTACTGCAGCTTCCCCTCCACCGAGCTCTGTCTTGTTCGTTTATTATTGAAGAAGCTTCTTCAGTCTCTGCCAACTCTATTGCTTCAATGTTATTAGGTCTGGGATGATCACAAACAACACATTTTTTAGCCTTAGCCCAGTTTTCATATGTGCAAACAGAACAAGTCCAATGCTGGGTCCTTGTATTCAGTTTATTTCTATCATTATATTCTTCACAGGGATCAACAGAAAAAGCAACTGGTCTTGAACCAGATCCTGAGGATTGAGGAGATTCTGTGGGACTCCTGGTCCTACGTTGGGATAAGCACTGGGTACATCTGATTGCTCTTGGCCAGTTCAAATATGTACACATGTGGCATGACCATTTATTTGCATTTTCCATGCTGTATGAAGACTTAACCCTTGGTCTTGCACTAGAGTCTGGACATATCAAAGGACTACTTCCACCTTCGGTACTGGAAGGATCCCAATCTCTACCAACATCACTTGAACCACTTTTAAATGGATCTTCTGTAATAATTGTTCCACTGGGTCTCTGGGCACGACACATAGTACACTTGATTGCAGACGGCCAATTTTCATACGTACAATATTCACAGGCCCACTTAATCCCATGTTCTGACATTGTGTACTTCTTGAAGTGAGTTATGTCAGGCAGGAAGCTATAAATAATTAGGATACTGTTATTAAAATAATAGTTACATAATTCTACCTCTGAAAATATGCCCCCAAAATAAAAAAAATAACATAGAAAATAATTATTTCTTAAAAGATACATGAAAAATTTCTTATTGTATTAATCTACTTTTGTAGAATTCTTTTTGTAGCTACTTTTGTAGTTCTCTTTCAGAGAGCTACTGGCGATAAATTCCCAAAAAAGCTCTTGGACTTCATGACTTAATGAAAGTTTATTTTGGACTACTTAAAGTGATAAGAGATGAATACAGACTTGTTCTACAGGGGAAGAAAATAAAAATAGGTAAGTCACTAATAGAAATTATTCAATTTCAGCTCAGCTGCCACCATTAATTTAGAAGTTAAAAAGACCTGTAGGCAAGGGAAAGAACACAAACCAAATAGTACCTTAAACACATAACCACTTTCAAATTACAAACAGTGTGGATCATGCTATTTATAGTATATCTGATCCATTAATTCAGAAGATCAAAGTCCTACCTAATTATCTTTGCTAAGGGAGAAAAATAGCTTGAAAGTGTTAATTATTCACTGCTTTTAATTAGCAGAGAAAGAAAGATGTTGAAGAGCACTGATCACAATTAATAAAATAGAATGATAAACTAGAAATAGTCTATATTCTCAAAATCTAATTACATTTGGAGAAAAAAAAAAGAAAAAAAGAAAAACTCCTTATCTATACTCTCAGGAAATTCAAATGGACAAATGTCTTTAAGAAAAATTATTAGCATAATCATATCAATCTATTTTTGAATGTTCATATTTGATATTTGAAAAAGTATACACTAAAAGTTAATATTAAAAATATACTTGTTATCTAAAAGGTCCTAGAAGCCGGGAGTGCTGACACATCCCTATAATCCTAGCACCTAAAAGGCTGAAGCAGAAGGATCTTGAGATTGAAGATAGCTTGGGCTACACAGTGAGAGACAAGTAAGTCAATAAATATTCCCAGGGCTCTACAGTGGGCTTACTAACACTGCACTATAATGAAGACTTTATTGTTTAATGACAACTAATTCATAAGTGAAACAGTTTGTATGGCAAATTTAATGATATTTTAATGACTTAAATTACAACACTATACAACCTCTCAATTTTTTAATCTGTTCTAAATTTAGTGCCTCCCCCATAACCTATTTTAACCAGGAAAGAAAAAGATTCCTAGGCAGGATGATAGGTATTCTTCCTTCTATCTAAACCTTAGAAAGCCAAATTACTTTATAAGTATATTATTCCGTTCCTGCCTATCAAACCTACAACCCATATTCAGAGTGACCTTTGCTAAGAGGACAACTTCACCATAGAAAGGATGCTATTTAATAGCTAAAATAAAAATCACACTTACTAAGATTTTAGTTTCCATGCTATAACCTCCACCTTGCACATGGTTACAATAAAGATATATCAGACCAAAGACAAGATTCAATCTTCATGCTGGCTCAGACTCTGACTTCCTCAGGAGATACTGCAAAACGTGTAAGTGGTTCTGTCTGACTGTGAATAGCTATTCCTGTAAAGGAGACCAAAACTGAATTTCACTTACAGCCTTCTATATTCAAAAGTATTTTTAGAAAGCCAAAATTTTAATCAATTGTATTTTAATTACACTTACTTATTTTAATAATGGACTACTATATTTAGAATTTTACTTTAACACAGCAATAAAAGCAGCTAATTTATTGGGTTGGTCAGTCAAATTAAAGTTTTCTGCATAATGTGCTGTGTATGGGCACAGGCACATGTGCGCAAGCATGTCTCCTCATTTTTTGGAGCCAGGGTCTCCACATATAGGCCAGTTTAGTCTCAAACTTGCAGTTCTGCCTCAGTTTCCCAAATGCCCATGGTTGTAGGCATGTACCAATACAACCAACAATATTATCATGAGTATGAGCAGTGCTAAGTCAATTCTAATCTGTACTACTGTAAAGGAAAAGGTAAGATGATCCAAAAAAGTAAAAAAGGTAATTACTTATAATTTATTTTGAAATTTTTTTCTCTTGTAATTGCATTTGTTTGGGTTTTTCAACCTTACTTCATAACCAGGTAATTTAAATTATCTTGCTTGGGCATTTTTAAACTGTGTGTGTATGTGTTTGTGTGCACACACACGTATATGTACATGTGGCAGGCAGACAAAAACCTCAGGAATGCCATCCATTTCCTTAAAGGCAGGCTCTCTTACTGGCCTGGAGTTCCCCAACTTGGCTAAAGTGACTGGTCAGCGAGACCCACCTAAGGATCCTCCTCAGTCTCAGTCTCCCCAGCACTACGGTTCCAAAAGCACACCAACATACTGCCTTTTTACCTGGGTGCAGGGACCAAACTCAGGTTCTTGAGCTTGTAAAGCAAATGCTTTACCAACTGAGGCATCCTCCCAGCCCCTTGCTTAGATTTTTAAATTTTTATACACACTGACTGTACACAATCTATCAGCAATCTGAAAGTATGTTCAATGGCAGGGAACTATAATCATACAAAGATACACAAGGTGGACAACAGAAACTTAGTGGCAGTATTCATATTCATTAGGCATTTCCTTCTTTTATTTTTCAGAAGTGAAATGTAAATAAATTACTTATTCACGCCAAATTGGAAATTATAGTAAGCATGCAGAAAGTTACCATAAAAGAACACGTCATAATAAACATATACTAAAGCAATTATGGTATTTCATTTAAAATGTTTATATTCAAAATCCGTGCTTGCTTTAATGTATGTGCTTATACTACATGTTCAACTAACAACCAGTTATCTTACTTTAACTAATCTCCATGGAATGAAGGCACTGTTATACTTAAACTTTCAAGGCTGACAAAAACAAAAACTGTCACTGACACAATATTGGAGCAATATTGGCTCAGCAGGTAAAGATGCCTGCTGCCAATCTTGACAACCTAAGCTTATTCCTGGGATTCACATGGTAGATGGTAAGAACTCCTACAAGGGGCTGGAGAGATGGCTCAGCAGTTAAGAGCATTGCCTGCTCTTCCAAAGGTCATGAGTTCAATTCCCAGCAACCACATGGTGGCTCACAACCATCTGTAATGAGGTCTGGTGCCCTCTTCTGGCCTTAAGGCATACACACAGAAAGAATATTGTATACATAATAAATAAATAAATAAATATTTAAAAAAAAAGAACTCCTACAAGCTGTCCTCTGCCCACCGCCCTCCCATGCTAGCCAAAGTATACAACTCACAAAGGCACATAAAATGAAATTTTTAATGTAATAAAATTCAAAAATAGTAATAATCACATCAAGACTAGCCTGGAAGCAGAGTTCAGTGGAGGGCATATCACCCATACGCAAGGTCCCAAGTTAAATGTCAGCACTATATAATTATCATCATGACTATTCATCATAAATGCTATTATAAATGAAGAACAAACAGCAATTTAATATCCCTGTCCATTCTGGAAATACAGGTAACTGTGCAAATTCCAAACTGAAATTCAAGGAAGACAAGAGACGTACACTATGCTACTTTTTATAGAAATACACACTCCAGGGAATTGAATTAACAGAAAGTATCCTTTTTCTTCCAGATTTGTCACATGAGATATATAAAATTATTTTCAAGGCAAATAGTCCTAAGAGGGTTTTTTGTAAAACAGTTTTCTTTTTTAATTTGTGTATCTGTGTGTCTGTGTGGGTGTGTGTGCACATAGGTGCAGGTGCCTGCAGAAGCCAGAAGAGGAATTACAGGGTGGTTGAAAGTTGGAAACCAAATTCAAGTACTCTACAAAACAGTACATGCTCTAAACCACTAAACTATCTTCCAGCCCCCTAGTTCTTAAGAGTTAATGCTGTATTTTGAAAAAGGACTGTAATTAAATATCATGGTAATGTATTATAGCGAAGTCATTTAACTTAGTAAATCTAATTCTGCATGCAATCTAGGTTTTCAAATTCTATTCAAGGACTCATTTCAATAAACTGGTACAATAAAATCTGCATAACAGGATTTTTAAAGATTTTTTTAGCTCTTGGATTCTTTTCTCCACAGAACTGTATGTGTTGCACTTGAACCAAGTAACATTTGTCTGAAGAGTCACAATTATGCCCATTTCTTCTTAAGAAGTCTTTACTGGGACTAGAGAGAGCGTTCATTGGCTAAGAGTCATTGGTGCTTTTGCAGAAGACTCAGGTTCAGTTCCCAGCATCTACATGGTGTCTCACAACCATCATAAACCAAGTTTCAGGGGATCCAACGCCTTCTGACCTCCACAGGCACCAGGCAAACATGTGGCACACATATGTACATACAGGCAAAACACACCTAAAATAATTTAAAATTATATTATTCTGCTTAATGAATAAGTATTATTTATGAAGCATCACTAAGCACTTAAGAAACAAAGCCACATCTAATTTATGCCTCAAAACGAAAGGTACTATACTATAAATTTCAACCCTCTATTAATATACTACAAATCTCAACCCTCTACTAAAAGCCTTATACAATGGGATGGTGGTGTAGTTTAGTGCTGAAGTGCTGGCCTGGCATGCCCAAAAACTCCAGATTTGGTCACCTGCACCACTGTAAAGAAAAAAAAAAGGAAAAAACTTGTGAATAACCCTCATCAGGCACAAACTCTTTAAGAATATAAGCTCAGTTGCCAGTAGTTTCAAATGATAAACTATTCAAAAGGATTAATGACATCAGTCTTAAAGTATTTTCTAATTTTCTTAACATAAACTATACATATGTAGTTATTAATATGAATCTGTGGAGATTTATAAATGCTCACAGGGCATCTTAAAGGACTATAGAAAATGGAAGACGGCACTCCATACACATTTTCAAGTTCTCTTTAAAATATTACAAAGTAATTCTAAATTACAAAATTTATTTAAATTTAAAAAATTAAAAACAAAAATTAAAACAAAAATTAAAAACATTGCTTGAGCCAGGCAGTGGTGGCACTCACCTTTAACCCTAGCACTTGAGAGGCAGAGGCAGGTGAATCTCTGAGTTTGAGTCCAGCCTGGTCTACAGAGTGAGTGCCAGGACAGCCAGACCTACACAGAAAAACTCTTGTCCTGAAATGAATGAATGAATAAATGAACAACAAAGGGGAAAAAAAGCACTGCTTGACTCCCACTCAATTTCTCTTTTCTCATCTTCCTAAATTACTATCTTCCTCTCAATCATCAGGAAAAACAGTGGTGCTACAGCAGGATCCTGATGACATGGAGAACCCACTAGCTTACAAATCTAATCCCATTCCAAGACTCAGATAACTTATCAAATCCCCATTAAACCTCTTCCCTTCTTCTCATAAAGCAATCCTACCGTGCCTTTTCCAGTTTCTACAAATGATACCATTCATTATCCCTGAGCCCAGCTGAGAATCTCAGAATTACCTCAAATTCTGCCTTCTACCCAATTTTTTTCCAATGGTTTCCATCTGATCAGTTATTTGCTTCCATCCCATGGGCATCAATCCTTCCTAGGTTCAGGTCAGAACTACCGTAACAGCCTCCTAAGCATCTCTGTTTTCTAAATACATCCACCTGACTGTTATAATAGCAATCCTCTTTTCTGAAGCTTTCTCTAATATAAGCTCTCAGTTCCCTCCTGTAACACACACAAGTCCACTCACTCACTCACTTTCAAATACACTATATGTATCCTCAACTTAAAGACACGTTATCACTCCCAAAGATATACACATGAGTCATTGCCTTAGATATGCTCATCCTTAAAACTCAGTTACCTCTGAGCATAGGAAGCTCTCAGATGACTCCAAGGACATTTCAAGCAATCATGCTTTGACTGATATTTGGTCTTACTGTATTTCCTTAGGATTAATTTTAATTAAGTTTTTCTTACATCATTCACTCCCACCAATTTTCAATCAGGGCAGCAAACGTTTCAAAAACCCCATCTTAGGGATTTTAGAGACAAAGTCTACAGACCAGTACACTATGTTTTATAAGACCAACAAAATACAGATAACATCACAGTCAGTGACCTGGAAAAAAGCCGAACAAGATAGTCCATGTATATAATCACAGCAGTTGGACTCAAAAGATACAATAATAGCAAGCACAAGACCAACCTGAGCCACAGTCAAATTGTGTCTCAAAATCCCAACTACTGGGGACATAGCTGAGTAACAGAACATATACCTGACATGTTCCAAGGCCAAGTTTAATTTCCAGCATCCAGCACTATTAGGAGGAGAAAGTTCCAAGCCACAGGCACTGGGAGCCCACAGCCGGTAGTAGAACCAGAGAAACCCAGAAGGAACTCAACAGAATACAACGAAAGACAACACTTTACCTAGAAAAGGTAAAATATGCAATGCCAAAGTTTAAAAAACAAAACCAAAAAAAAAGAACCGAGGTTGACATTCATATCAAGAGATTTCAAAGTTCAAATCAAGCTGATTTAATCAAAGCAAATGAAGTACCACCTTTCTACCTGAGGTTTTAGGCTGGGGTTCATATTTGATACATCTGAGATATATTTCTAGCTAGCTAGCCAGATTATAAACTGACAAAAGCTAGCTGTACCTATTTCCCC